TTGGTAAAATAGTCCACTGCTACCACTAAGAACTTCCTTCCACCCATTGCTGGTGGGAATGGTCCGAGTAGATCAATGCCCCACTGTGCAAAGGGCCACGGACTGGTGAGGTATTTGAGGTCGGCAACGGGTTGGTGGTGAATATTGGCATGTCTCTGGCATTTATCACATTTTCTAACGAGTTCGATGGCATCTGTAAGAAGCGAGTGAGTGATTCCTGCAAGAGCATGGAATATTATCTGTAAGAAGCGAGTACCTCAGATCGTTCGACACGTGGGTCAGCGAGCACGTCTTGCAGGTCACCAAGTCGGCACCTGTGCTAGGCCGCTAGGTCGGCGCCTGTGCCAGGTCGTGCCCGTGCCAAGCCGCCAGGTCGGCGCCTGGGCCAAGCCGCCAGTTCGCACTTGGGCCAGGCCGCCAGGTGGGACACCATCAACTTGGCTAAGGCAAGTTGTTGCTTAAGTGGTTCTGAGTGTCTCCTACTTGTTCCGAGGTACCATTTATCACAATATTATTGAAGGGCCAAATCCGCCTTCATCACGACCTGCCAGGTCGGCGCCTGTGCCAGGTCGTGCCTGGCCAGGCCGCTAGTTCGCACTTGGGCCAGGCCGTTAGGTGGGACACCGTCAACTTAGCTAAGGCAAGTTGTTGCTTAAGTGGTTATGGATGTCACCTACTTGTTCCGAGGTGCCATGTATCACAATATTATTGGAGGGCCAAATCCGCCCTTATCACGACCCAACCCAACCCGTTAACAGCAAGTCACCTTGTTTTACTTGGCGAAGGCTTTGTTTTCCCATTAATAGTTGGGGGAACGGGATTTGGGTTGTGTTTGGACTAACAATGCAAATTAACATTAAAGCTTCAGCCTGTTGTAGCCTGCAGGTGTTGGCCAAGTGAAAAGTAAAAGACGTGTCAAAATTTTAGTAGACTCGAAAAAAAAATCCCTTCAAGTTAAAACGCATCGGATCCGATGTACAATATCCATGACACTTGTCCACGTTGGGTTACACATGGAAAGGTAAAGGGCTAAAGGCCTTTACACAATCAACAACCCAACTCATTCATTGTAAAGAAGTAAAGGGCTAAAGGCCAAACTCGAAAGTGAGTGATTCCTGCAAGGAAACCTGAAAGCTGAAGCATCAAAATCGGAGAGAGAGAGAGAGAGAGCAGAGGGAAGCATCCAGCAGCCATTTCCGTTGCTCTGCTTTAATCTTTCTGGTCGTGGACCTACCATAATATTATTATGTCAATTACATCCCCCCTTTCTATCTGCCCCATCTCTTCCACGTCCCGTAAACTGCCCAGCTCGGGCTATTTCTTTTCACCTCCCATCAGTCGATTCCGCTCTAGCTGCATTACCATACCTTCCACCTCTCTCCACCTTTCTTCCTTATCCCGTCAAAGAGGCAAGAGAGGCACCGTCTGTTGCTCCTCCATGCCACTAGAGCAGATTTCCTCTCCACAGGTTTGTTGCTTCTCCTTCCCCATCACTCATCTTCATCCCCTTATACAGAATTGAACACTCTTGAATCGAATGAAGTTCTAACAGACCCATTTATAACTGCAATATAATTTAATGATGGACAGTCTTTATTTGCAATGTCTTGCAGTTGCAGTGTAGCTTGTTATATTCGAGAGCATACTGGGTTACGAGATCTCTAATTGCATGGAACATCGATATCGCAGATGGTTCTTGCTATCTCTACGCAAGTAGAACTGCTGGCTTAGTTGTTACGGAGGACGGTATTCAAGGTTTGGAAATTGGATTGCTTTTTGTTTGATGTTTTGCTTAATGAAGTTAACTTATTTAGTTCTGATGGAGGAGGCAGAACCCATCTTAACTCATCCTAGCAGAATCCTGTCAACGTTTTCTACGTTTGAATCTAAGACGGTCCACTTTGCACTGTAAATGCTCCCTAAATTTGCAATGCCTTACTGGATATTCATTCTAATGTTACACTTAATTCCCATGCTAACAGGTCACGAGGTGAAAATTAAGCTTGAAGTAGAAAACAGCGGGTTACCTTCCAATGTGAGCTGTTGGTTTGTTTAAACATTACATGATTACATACGACAATCGTTAATTTTCCCTGTGATCTATGGTTTTATTTGGTGGCACTTTGTTTTTTGGTTGAACATGAGCTCTGTTGGTTGTTTCACATAAGAAACACCCTAGTAAATTTTGATGACTCAGGCCCAGTTTGGCTCGTGGGAATAGGGGTCTGGAATCGGAATCGAATGGGCTATTCCTATTCCTACCGTTTGGTTGGGCGGAATCGGAATTCCATTCCCCATCCTGTTGGAATGGCATTCCCCCATTTGAGGGAATGGCCATTCCCTGCCCCTCCCTGGGAATGAAATTCCATTCTTGCTGATTCCAATTCCCATTCCCATTCCTATCTGAACCAAACAGACTATGGGAGTAGACCATTCCGATTCCAATTCTGAAGGACTTCGATTCCGACTCCGAATTTCCGATTCCAACTGCAAACCAAACGGACCCTCAATTTGGTATCTGATTGGTTTCCTTCTTACAGTTAACATCTTATTTCAGGTCGTTGAGAAGTTTCCTCACATTCGACATAATAGAGTTTTTAGAGTCCCAACTTCTGTGGATGTCAAGAGCCTTGTCAAATGCCAGTTAGCAGTTGCTTCTTTTCATTGTAAGAATTAGTGACTCTCTTTGTCTCAATTCAGTCTTGGCCCCTTCTTGTAGATTGAAGTATGATGATTGTATAAAATGCTGGCTCTAAATGGTCACATTAAATCACATCCAATTGGAACATCAATAGTTTACTTTGGGATTGCATCCATGTTAATTGCTTTGAACTTATGCATCAAACATTGAGCTCCAAATAAAATCATTGGCATGATGCTAAGTGTGATTTCTTAGTCTATATTTTTCAGTTTAGTTTTCCATTACAGCATAATAATTAGTCAATAGGTTGTGAATAAATTGCAATTCAACTATTAATAGGCAGAATAAGGAGAACAAACTTATAAAATACATCTAATAGAGGGAAAAATAAGTGAGACCCTGGCCTTCAAAACTTCTCAATTTTTTAAACATAAATGGTATTACAAACCAAAATAAGTAAATTGCCCCAAGACTGTGTACTATGTATAAGAAACCAATCTAGAGATGCCAGTATGCCCTTATAGGGTTCCTACACAATAATGTTAAAAAATATCATTCAGTTAAGTAATGATGTACATTAAATAACTCACTTCAATTTGGATGTGAAAATTCTGGCATATCTAATCTGATAAGTGATAACTATCTTTAAATGCCTCTAGGTTTATTCCTGAGCCTTTTTTTTATCAGCAGATTTATCCCTGCCCCCCCTCATCCATCAAATTATAGCATTAAGATCTCCCTTGATGCATACAATCTGACGACCCTATGCTAATGTTAGAATTTCACCCTTCATGGGATCCCCTGTGCTTACAGATCCTGATCCAACTAAAATGATCATTACTATAACTATTTCCTCTTTGCCTCTGCATCCCCAAGGGCCATTTGTTACATAAGAAATAATCATCAAATTAAATTAAATGCTTAATGTTGTTGTCAATAGGGGCTTCCGTTGTTGAATCATTGCACCATGTGAGATGAGAATTTGGTCATTATATCCTAATCTTTTCTATCCAATCGATTATTTTGATATTAACTAGTTCACTCATTGCCTTAGAGGGATCTCTTCTTGTTATGAAATTCTAGCATTTAACGTTTATTTGTTTCTAAATTCTAAATGCTCCTGTTGAGTGGGCCGACTTGTGTTTAGTTTATTTCCTTTTAAATTAAGATGTTGTTGGGCCCATTAGTCTTTATTTCTTAAAGAGTTGTAATTACTTAGGTTGAGTTGCCGCCCTACTGAGGGCATTTTTGTAATATCTCATACTTAAAGTTAATTATAAATAGAATGAAGGGCTGGCGGCTAGGGTTAAGTCAATCTATCCTAGTCGACCTTCTTCTCTTTTCTACCCTTTCCTTTGTCTCTTGCTGAAATCCCCAACTTTCTACTCTTCCTTTCACAAGAAGCTTGGCCGAAATTAGCACATAAGGTTTTCTACTTGGTATCAGAGCAGGTTGAAGGTTCTTGAAGAGATTTGTTCCTGCAGCCCTAGATCGGCCGACTGCATGGAGATTTAAGAGGCTGATCGAAGCTTTCAGGTAAGCCCAGTTTTTGGATTTTCTTGGTGGATCTGTATGCCCTATAGCTGGTCTAGGGTTTCTCA